TTGGCGCTACCCCGAGACCTTATAAAAACGATGTGTCCGTTGCTTCTAACTCCAAAAACGAAGTCCAGTTTGACCCCAAACCATCGGTGCCGGGCCCCGATTACGAGCCTGCGGAGAGTGCGCCTCAGTGACTTCTGGGAAGAACTTGGAACGCATTTCGAAGACCACCAAGGAATTGCTCGAAAGAAGAAGATTTCTAAGGCAGGATTCGAATGAAACCCATCGCGACTGATAGCCAACGCCAGTTGCAGAACAGCTTTGCAGGAGAATCTCAGGAAGTACAGGCAAGCCAGAATACTGGAAGCAGCCGAAGGAAGACTAAGGGAGCTTGGTAAATATCACGTACCGCTGGCTGCACTGTTGAGCGAAGACGAGACTCCAATTTCTTTCCGACATAAGATGGAATGTATGCGAAGAACTTCTACACCAACCTCTGCCGCTCGTCAACACCCGTGCCGATGCCCGTTGTTCCCACTGGAGAAGTAGCACCAAGGGTTCTACCTGGAAGTGCGTGTTGCGATACAGACCATAAAGACGTCCACGGCTTCAGGACCAGATCATCTTTCCGTCGAACTTCTGCAAACCGGAGGACACCATCTACACGAGATTCTCGCGTCGCACCAAACATCTTACCTTCAAAAGGAAAAGATTCCCAACCAGTGGAGAACGTCAAGAACCGTCCTTCTCTTCAAAAGGGTTAGCGGGAGGATCTTCGAAACTGCTGTCCAATATGCCTGCTGTATGCTGTACAAACTTTTCACAAAGATTATCCTCGCTCGCATATCTAGAACACTGGATGAAATCCAATTCCAAGAACAAGCTAGATTTCGCAAAGGATTCAGCTGCATGGACCACATCCAGACGGTTTCGAGGGTCATAGAAGTCTGCCGGGAGTACCGACTGCCTCTCGTCCTGATCTTCCTCGACTACTAAAAAGCCTTTGACAGCGCTTTGACAGCGTAGAAACCAACGCTATCCTGTCTCCGCTAGACGATCAAGGAGTGGACCCAGCTTACGTGAGGAAGTTAGATGACTGCAATAAGGACTGTACAACAAGATGCAGCTATTCCATCGCCCCCTGACCATCCCAATTGTGAAGGGAGTCAGACAAGGCGACACAATGTCGCCGAAGCTGTCCACCGCGGTCTTGCAGGGGGTGATGAAGTCTGGACTGGGGCGAAAGAGGCGCACGAGATGGTGGGAGATTCCTGTCGAACCTTCGTTTAGCGGACGACATCGTTCTCTTCTTGAGCAGTATCACTGAAGCAGAGACGATGCTGAAGGAACTGAACGAAGTGGGGAAGAGGATCGGATTGCGAATAAATCGGAAGAAGACTCTCAGTTAATGAGGAACGCACTTTGCGAAGATGCAGAAATGGAATTGGAAGGCACCCCTATTATGGAGAAGTCTTCTTATGTGTATCCGGATCCGGACGTTCATGAACATGGACAACGAACAACGGCTTGAGGGAACTTAACAGGAGAAGAAAAGCAGCCTGGGCCTCCTTCGGACCTCTTAAAGAAGCCACCAACCAATTGACAGACCCGGAGCTTCGTGCCCACCTGTTCGACTCAACTATTCTTCCGGCGCTCTGTTACACAGCTGAAACTTGGGTTGACACTGTAGCCATGTCGAAAGCTTTACGGACCACCCACAGAGCGCTCGAGCGCAGTCTTCTGAGGATGACCCGACACAAGCAACATCTAGTCGGACTTCGCAGTACGGATATGAGAAGAATGTCCCGTGACCCAGCGGAATAAGTGCGAAAGCGAAACAGACGGGACGGTCACATCAAGACACGAACAGACGACAGATGGACACTGATAACATCTGAGTGGATTTCTCACGAAGGCAAACGTCCCCGAAGAAGACCACCAACGAGATGGGCAGACATGTTCGTGGAACGGATGGACCAGCTGAGAAATCAACTGGATACGATTTTTGCCCCTTGAACTGGTGGACGCCGCCACCGACGGCAACTAGGGTGATCGTGGATGTCCGAAGCGAGGGGCAGGGAACAGTGGAAACTTCTGTACTGGAGACCCGTACGTCACTGAAGGCGGGCCATCTAAGTATCTGAGTAAGTAAGCCTGTCACCAAATTCGTGACAACCTGTAGTCCCAACGCAGAAGATTTAGCATTGGGTACATATTATTTAATTCCTCATCAAGGTAATCAAATGAGCTCAAGCTTGACAGCTGTTATCTGATAGAAAGCTTTTTACGCTCCATCTATAAATAGGCAACTTACATTGAATTTTCTCATTTTCAAAAAATTGTGGGCCGAAACATGGTTTTTAGCCTTAAAATCTGCGCCAAACAACGCACTTTTTCGAATAAAGTGCCTCTTCTGGACGAAATGATAAAGAATTTTTGCGCATTCAAGTATTCATTGGAAATCGATTAATATGATTCGCGCTCGCTCAATCAACTAGCTTTGATTAGTTACGGCAACTGCATTTATGTATTAGGTTGAACCGAAAGTTCTGTCGCACCATTTTCAAAAAATCATAACTTCTTTCGGTCACGACGATTTTGCGCAATTCAAATTTTGCCTGAAAGCGTAAGGAATGTAGTTTCCAAGAGTTTCCTGAGGACTTTCCAAGGTGCTCAGGTTGCAGAGATAAAAATGAAAGAACGAGATCATCCGAAATTCGGAATTTTTAAGCAAGAATTCTAAAAATTCAGAAGCAGTGCGATAGAATCCAGAAAAGCCATTATCCTAATTTTTCTTACATTTGATTACCATCTGAGTCAAGTTTGTGCTGATCGAGGTCTTCTTCCAGTAGTTATGAATTTTTGAAAAAAAATGCCAAGAAATCCATTTCTTAAGAATTCTTAGGAAATTGATTTTTCGGCATTATTTTTCAAAAAATCATAACTTCTGGAAGAAGACCTCGATCAGCACAAACTTGACTCAGATATTAATCAAATGTAAGAAAAATTAGGATAATGGTTTTTCTGGATTTTATCGCACTGTTTCTGAATTTCTAGAATTCTTGCTTAAAAATTCCGAGTTTCGGATGGTCTCGTTCTTTCATTTTTACCTCTGTCACCTGAGCATGTCGGAAACTTCACAGGGAGCATTTGCAAACTACATTCCTTACGCTTTCAGGCAAAATTTGAATTGCGCAAAATCGTCGTGACCGCAAGAAGTTATGATTTTTTGAAAATGGTGCGACAGAACTTTCGGTTCAACCTAATATTTAACTATGTGCCTACAAAGTGATAACCAAGTGAGAAACGTGTGGCCGCATTCATCATCGAACAGTGAGCAAAAACCCTACCCTTTGAGGTAAGATTTACGCCACGAATGACTCGTATTCACCAAGCAGAGGTTACGTTCAACATCAAGGATTAAACATAGCCCGAGGATAAATTTAAACCCGAAAAGCGATTATCCGTATTCATCAGCGAACCCCAAGCGTTAATCTGCCCTCAAAGTTTTTTTTTGGTATTTGAATACTTTTCAAATTTGTCTTCCACCTTGAAATAAATAGATTGTACATTATAGATTATACATTCTTTGAGAAAGCCTATCGAATATGTACTTCATGCATTTTTGATAAGCTCGAATAATACGGATTATTTTCAATTTTTACAAGAGGACTCTTTTTTAGGCAAGAAAATAGAGAAGTATTTTGTAAATTTCCAAAATTTGCGGCTTGAAATTTTTTTGCTGCTCCCCCATCCCAGAAGAAATTTTTTCGAATTTACTTTGTGTTCTGTATATGGCTCTCTACACCTTTCGGCGCTATGGGTAAGTGTGAAACAACTTTTTGTGTAATATTCCGAACACCATCTCGTGTTTTCGACGGAATGTTGAAGTGTAAGGCTGCTATGCTGAAAAGATCGACACCGATTTCACTAAAGTGCAAAGTTCGCCGTCTTTGACAATCTTAGCGGTCCTAATTATACAAATATTACAGATAAATTTGCAAAAAAATATTGCGAAGGATCTGGTTTCCGTTTCGATTTATTTGGTTCTAAGTTGTTTTGTTCTACTTGGTAACCACTTTGATTCCATGTCTAGAGTCTCTTCAAAGTTCCAGATCTATCAAAAGTGCTAACGACCGGTCTAGCCTTGCCTTCATTGCCCTTTTCTTATTCCTTCGGTTTCCGTAAGGACTAGTTGAACTGGATCTAAGCAATTGTGTTTCTGAAACACCAAAGACTGGTCATTTGGAGATTTTCAAGCTCTTCAGCTTTCTGGACGAATGTTGGCCAACCCCTCCATCCCTTGCAGACTTTTTTCTCTTTCTACTGCCTTTTATAATCTATAATCACGATAAGATTAGCATTTGACTGTCTAGAAAGTTTCGTAATCTCGAAATCGCAGTTTTTCTCGGTCGATCGCAAAAATGACCTGACTGACCCTTTCGGAACGTTGGCGCCACCACCGCCTATCAGTTTTCTTCGATCGGTGGTCCGGTGCTGACCATTGATCCGCTTTCGTACGTTGTAAAAAAAATTTTGACATTTATGTAACGTCTTCAACAAGATGAAAGATTCTGTAGAATACTACCTCATCTGTCTTACTTCAAAGTTCTTTTCCAGTCTCTTCAACATTTTTCTTCAACATTCAAAAAGGTACCAATCTATTTAATCCATGTATTCCGCACAAATGGTCTGAAAAATAATCATCTGGAGTTTTTTTTAGTTTGTGGCAATTGCACTTTTACACATTATTATGGAAGAAACGAGCAAGGAAAGGGTTTTCAAAAAGTTTATCCCATGAAAAATCGATTATTTGTTTTCTATCACGTCATGGAAATTTTTAGAGTTTGATAGAAGGAAATTCCTTTTATACAAACAAAATCCTCTGTGTAAATACAAAAATTGGAGCTTGCCCTTCACGCAAATCCTGAGTTGTCTAAAAATAATTACCGTGAGATCAAGGTGTCTCCCACCTTCATGGAATCGAGCCTTTCCTACTCCATTCGATATAGCCGCTTTGTGTTCTAAAGCACAAAATTGTGGCGCTTATTAAATTTCATTTCAGAGCCATCATGAAGATCGAGAAAGTTCTGATTGCGGACGATATCGAGAAAGAATGCACCGATCTGCTGAAAGCTCATGGAATTGAGGTAAATGTCATTGACATAGATGAAAAGCTTAACGAACTAAAAGTTACGATAAAGATATAAACGGTCAGAATAATTATTGAGTGTATTTTTTACTAGCTTCTCTTTTGAGTCAACCTTCTCGGAGCGCGATGGAGTTTAAGTTGTTCATAGTGAAATTTTGATAAGCAGCCTCGTTTTATTCGAATATTCATTGTAAACTGCTTTATAGGTTACTGTAAAAACTAAACAGACAAACGACGAGCTAAAGCTTTCTCTGCCAGCTCATGATGCTGTGATTGTTCGAAGTGCCACTAAGGTGAGTATTGTTTACTAAGGTCGTATTTGAGAGTAAAGTATTAGAAGCTGCACGAAAATATCAAAAAAACTATGTAGTCCCAGCTTGGGGCTGCCAAATTTGCAAAATAATAAAATAATTTGCTAGCCTTCACAAAGTAGAAATGAGATTAAAATAGTGCCGTCACGGTAACGGCAACGTTTGCACGAAGACAAATGCCATGGTTGTGCATACTGCTAACTGCTTGCGACTTGCGCATAAAGAATAGCCGTGGAACGCACCTTACGATTCTTCACCTGCTTCATATTATCGCAACACAATTACGCTATGAATTGTGATCTATTAGACTATGAGAAGATTATTTTAATAGTGCAGATTGAGCCTTTTATTCTTCTCAAAAACCCAGCTGATCGCGGCTTGTTCCACTAGCAGCTGTTTTTCGAGAACATTCAGTCAAAACCAAACAGCAGCTTTGGGCTAGTTCTGAATACAATTTGTTATTTACGATTTACGCTCTCTCAATGACCATGTTGAAGCAACTTTTTCTAGCAACATTTCACACGTCATCATCTTTTGTGAAATCCACACTTGGGGCAACTTCCAAATCTTAGTAAAAATTAGAATTCAAATCGAAAGCTGCTTGCACATCTAATATGTATTGGAAATTGAGAAACAGATGCGAAAGCTGTTCGCACATCTTTAATATGTATTGGAAATTGAGAAAGTTTGACAAGCCTTTCTCGACCAGATTCGTTTTCCGTGCATCCTGCAGAATAAAAATCCTGCAAACAAATTTTCTATGGTTTTAGAAAGGAAAATCGGAATGTTGCATTTCACAAAGTGAAATCCAATCCCCTTTGGAACTAATGGTAGACCTTCGCAAAAATATGGTTTTTGTACGTATTAGAAACTGTAACTGCATAGTTCTAAGTCCTTTTGAGCAGCCGAACTTTATCAGAATCTTACAAACATCACAAATACAAAAAATTTAGGACTGATAGTTTATAAACGACAATATTCGTTAACATAACCGTTTCAGGCAAGGAAAACTGTGAAAAAATACGTGAGAAATTAATAAAATTTGGAATTGATCTGGAAAAATATTGTTAAAGCAATAAATGCGATAGTAAGTAAACGAGCTGGCGCTGGTGGCGGAAGTAGTGAAAGAGAAAAAGAAATCAATATTAGTTCTTATATTCCATGTTCGGTTTATGGTTGATTCGATTTTCTAGTTATCAAGACGTTTTCCACTATACACATCTCCCGATTGCCTGAATACCGTTATTATCTTCAGTGATACTGACTAAAGAGCCAAGCATACTTCACGCGATTTGGCAATCTCCCAATTGGCCATAACTCACTATAAGCACATTCTAAATGTTCAGAAGATAGAGCATTTATCGATCCACGTAAGTTATACACACAATGCATGTGTAATTTGCTAGTGCTGGATCTGAAGACTTTTGGCGAATTGCCAAATCGCGTGAAGTATGCCCCGCCCTTAATCTGTTTCCTTCCAGGGCTCGGCACGAGGTGGCTTACAAGCAAGCTGGGTATCGTTTTTGGGATGAAAAGCAAAGGGGGTTTCGTTTTTGTGACCGAAGACACACGCAAAATTGGCGATTTGGCGACGTTTTTTTTTAGTCGACGTTTCGTTTTTTGGAGGATTTTTAGGGAAAATGGTGGGGGGTCAAAGGGGACTTCGTAAAAATACCCAAAAGTCAAGGAGGACTTCGTTTTTCGCATTTTCATCTAGCCACCTCGTGCCGAGCCCTGTTTCCTTCTAATTTCTGCCTTACCTAGTTTGTTCACAAATAAGTCAATATATAAAGTAAGTAAACCCCTTGAGGAAGATCAGTGTCAGAGAAATTTTCGCAAATTTCCTTGCAGATTACTGGTGAACTAATCAAAGCTGGTGCTGCCGGACGTCTGAGACTAATTGGTAGAGCCGGTACCGGAATAGACAACATCGATGTTCCAAATGCTACTGCGAACAAAGTTCTTGTCATGAATACACCACGTAAGTAAGCAAAAACTTCTTCCTCAGATATAGTTCTCCAATTTGAAATACCGGAGTACATCTTTTCAGAGGCCAATTCTCGATCGGCAGCTGAGCTGACCTGCATCCTCATTTTGAGTCTCACTCGACATGTCCCGCAAGCTGATGCATCCATGAAAGCTGGCAAATGGGCTAGAAAGGATTATATGGGAGAAGAGGTGGGGTCCTATCTAGATATTCACACATTTACTTGGTTTTTGGAAAAAATTTGATTATTGTTGTTAATTTGAAACTTCGGCTCGAGTGGTACTTGGCAAAAAAGGAGACCAAGAGCAGTTGTTTGTCAATGGGAGATATGTTATATGGCCTGCTGCATGACGAAGGCGCAATATTTTTGGGCGCGTACGCGGCTTTATTAGCCGCAGAGCGCATAAGGCGCAGGAACGACGGTGAGGATACGCGCGCGTCGCGTTCGCGTCCGCTCAACTAATAGTGCTTCTGCGCCTTCGTTATGCAGCAGCCTTTACAACTTCCATCTTAGACACATTACAAAACTGGAACTAACTTGTAAAAATTCGTGAAAATTTGTAGATCTCTCTGGAATTTTCCGTCATCGCAGGTACTCAACAGCTCTGCAAAACTTTGGCACAGCCCATATCATTGCGGAAGCTCCGAACGAAATTACAGTAGTACAATTTTTCGCGCCCGGAAATGAACTATGTGGTTGTTTACTCAGACAATCGCAAAAGAACTTCCGGGGCAAACTGCTTCTAGAACTTCCGGGGGAAGCCTCCCATTGGAGCTGCCAGGTAGAGCGGGGCCCACGCCACACTGATCAATAGGAGCGACCTCCCCGGAAGGTTTTAAAAGCTCAGTTTGCCTCGGAAATTCTTTGCGATTGTCGGAGTATGTGCTTTTTGTGCTAAGTCTAGGTCATAGTTTTTGTATCATTCTAAGACTAGATATTTCTGCAGTTTTCTTCCCCAGAACAAAAAACTTCCTTGATGGCAAAAAGTCGGAAAATTTAGAAAATTCAAAAGTAAAAAGGAATTGCAATGTAAAATGTAATGCAAAAATGTAAATAAATTTTATCTTTGAGTATTATTTTTTTATTTTGTGGTTTTTTTGGTAAAATCAAACGTTCATGTAATTCCTTTAGGTTTTCGGTCGCACACTTGCGGTTATAGGACTTGGCAGAATTGGTACCGAAGTTGCAACTCGTCTGCAAGCATTTGGAATGCGTGTTATTGGTTACGATCCAATGTGCACGAAAGAGGTAGTTATTACTGAGTTTATTCGTTCGATTAATTATTTATTCGAATACTCTCCATCCCCTTGGCCTTACTTTTATCTGCTCGTAAAATTTCTAGCAAGCAGCAGCAAAGAACGTCGAGTTGGTGACTCTCGATGAACTCTGGCCACAAGCTGACTTCATTACTGTCCATGTACCACTTATTCCAGCTACAGAGAATCTTATAAATGCTGAAAGTGAGTGTGTCACCTAAAAAAGGAGATTTTGCATTAAAACTCAGAACTTTTTAGCTCTCGCCAAGTGCAAAAAAGGAGTAAAAATCATCAATGTGGCTCGAGGAGGAATTGTTAACGAAAATGATCTTGTTGATGCTCTCAACTCAGGACAAGCTGGTGGAGCAGCGTTTGATGTCTTTGTTGAGGTTGAACTTTTTATTCAACATATACAGAATGAATCAGGGAGCCGCAAATGCTGTGCATCAAAACTAGTTTTTTATAATTCAAATTATAATATCGATACTTTGCAAATTTCGATTTAAAAAAGGTCCCGTCTGACAATGCTCCAAATTGTTTTACTCGCAAATAGTCACAATAGGATCTTGTTTTGAACTCGATACGGCAATGTCTGTTTTTTTTTTTTGAAAAACTTGTGAGCAAATAATGTTGATGACATTTTTGCTTTCTCAGACGCACTACCAAGAGTTGGAAAATTTCTGGAAGAAGCGTGAGAATGAAAATTGAAGTAAAAATCAAGCTTTATGAGGCAGCAAGTGCGACTCTAGAATAAGATCTGTATAAAATTATCAATTTCCTCAGTCCAAAAAAAATTGAAATTCTTTCCAGGAACCACCCAAATACCGCGGCCTAGTCGAGCATCCAAAGGCTATTTGCACTCCCCATTTGGGAGCTTCTACCATTGATGCCCAGTTGAGAGTGGCCACCGAAGTTGCTGAGAATATCATACAACTCAACAAGGGAAATGTGCTGGGAGCGGTTGGTTCCTTGTTCTAAAGGAAACTTCCGCGCGGAAAACAACTTTATTTCAGCTCAATGCCAAGGAAGTTCTATAAGGGGCACTATACTGCATGCTATGACAGAAGCTCCCAGAATTTTCACTTTGTGATTTCAAAGTTAACTTATTTATTTGAGAATAAATGGTGTCCTATTGGACAATTTGAGTCAGTCTTCCCGTAATTGAAATCTCTTGAAAAACTGTGAGCATCGTTTTCCTACCGGACAGTTTGATCTGCATGGTTGTGGAGTACTTAGCATCAGGAGAAAAAATTATTTAAAAATTTATAGAACCACTGAGACAACGAGATCAAACGAGAGGAGTGTTTTGAACTAACAGATAGTCCCTATAATGAGCTCCAAAGCATCAACTTCAAAAATTTACCAAACTCTATGAGTTATGTAGCATTCTCAAAAATCATATCAACAGTAGGTATGTAGATAATTTTCCTTGCTACATTTGCAGTTCAATGAAAAAAAATGGCTTTATTAAACTTGGCAAGAAATGCATCTTGTTTTTTAAAGACTACAAAATCTAATTGTCACTGTTTGAGCGCCTATTAAAAAAAATAGATGGTAATTAGTATAAACAATCGTAGGGTTCCTCCTATTCTGCAAGAATCTTCCAAAGTGTGAAATTTTTCGATAAATGCTTCACAAGAAAGTGTTTCAGAAAAATTGCTTCTTCTTTGCCACTGTGAGATTTTAACTTCAATTTCACCAAATAGTCTCACTTCAGAGCTTGTAATATTTTAAAACGTTTCTAACACACTAAAGCTTGATTCAGCTTTTTTAGCTAAATTCCTAATCGCAAGTTCAGTTCCATATTTCGTTCGCCCTTGCATCTGCATGTCCTTGCCAAGTTGTTCTTGATCGGATAATCATGTGAAGCACCATTTTTTAACTGACCTAAGCTTACCCTTTCAATCTGCTTAACCTTACGAAGCTGTTTCACTCGATAATTCTGAGAATCGATAAAAATGTAAGTTATATGGAAGCTTATGATTAGTCTCGTGACTGCTTGCTTGACTTGGTGCAAATGTTTGGTTTATTAGAAGTGCATTGTGAAATGTATATATGCAGAAAAAATTCACTTCAATGAAATTCAATGAAAATCAATGGACATGACAGCCTGCCGAAACATCTGAAAACCAATTGTTTATTTAATGTGAAATTGTCGTTATCTGAAGATAGAAAGGAGTTATTTGCATATTTTTGTGTCTTACGTAGACGACTTCAAAACTTTTAACAATTCAAAATTTTATCCAAACTCGACTTTCCAGCTCAAATTTATTCAGCAACCACGACCCCACTCCCTCAATTTTTTCTTCCTCCCCAATGAGTCAAGAATATTGAAGTATGCAATATCACTGGATCATCTGCGGACTTCATAAAAATATCTCAACATGGTTTTCGAAAGCTATTTTATTTCAGGAAACAAAATATGCTTAATTTTCAAGGATTCACAACAAATAACGCGCATCTATCATTTCAATGAACAATTCTGCAATTACACGACCATACCAGCGTAAACACAATTTTGAATATCTAAAATAATAAAGAGAAATAAAGGTCACAAAACAGGTGATGTTCATCCTTTGGCATTCGCATCGGGAGTTTCAGTAGGGGTGCCATTTGAGGGTACATCTTTCTTTACTTGTTTTCTGTTTCTGAAAATAAATTTATGCAAAATAAGGCGTATACCACAAAACTAATTCTATGTTTTTTCATAGAAAAAAAACGAAAAACAGGAAGACAAGGGGAAAGTTCGAAAAACGCTGTGAAGAATTCAGGATCAAAAAAAATGTGCAAAATGCTCGAAAAGTTGGGTTCTTTTTGCATATAGTTCCCAACTAGTAAAATGGATTTTTTTGCTTACATTAAAATTTCTGAGGTGCGATCCAACGTCAAAGAAGGGAGTCCTTGTAGCAATGATCTCCATTTTTTATGTGATAAAAAACTCAAAATTCATCGTTTTTTAGGTTTATTTTCAAACTATTGCACTTCTGTTTATAGAGGCCTTTCTTTCCTCTAAAAAAGACAAGCATGCATATTAGAGCTCACAATTACTTTCGAGAAGCAGGGTCTTTGTAGAAGTGCCCTCAGGGCTTGGCACAAGAGGCTTGTAAGCAAGCTGGATATCGTTTTTGGGACAAAAAACAAAGGGAGTACCTTTTTTATGGCCGAGAAGTCACAAAACTTGTGAAGCCCTTTTCTATAGTCGACGTTTCGTTTTTTGAGGCTTTTTTTACGTTTAGAGTTTAGGGTCAGAAGGCTACGTAATTCGCGAAAGTCGAAGGGGACTTCGTTTTTTGCATTTTCCAAAGGCCATCTCGTGTCGAGCCCTGAGTTCCCTATGAATTGAGTAATTTGAGATCATTATTTGTGAAAGAATTATGATGCGTGCGCTTTTATGAGCTTTAAGAACCCTTCTAAGGTTTTTGGTGCACCTTTGCTATATGATATAAAATACTGCGTGTCAAATTTCCCTCCAAAACATGAGCTTTTTCTTGAAACAGGCGCCACTTTTCTCCAAAAATTATTACAAAAGAAGAAAAAATTGGATCATTGCATAAGTTTGGTACACAGTTTTGATGATCTTGCTTCTAGCAATTTTGGCGTATTTTTTGCGAGATATCAATTATCTCAGTAGAATCAAATTTTTGAGAGAACTTTTCATATTTAGCTATTCTTGAATTTGCAGTTAAGACAAGAATTAATCAAAAATATCGATAAGTAGGTAGTGCCCCTAGCAACGGAAAAATAAATTCGTAGTACGACACCTGTCAGTAAGATAAATGTGCTTCTAATCTGCTAAACATTTGTACTTGTAAGGACATTTGTAGTTCTTTAGACAGTATTCCATTCAAAAATAAAAAACCCGGAAACAAAATAAGACTGTTTCTGTGCATCTTTTGTCACTTAATTACTGTAACTATCCTCGTCGACTTCCTCGTCTGCATTTGCGGGTTTTCAATGATTTAGCAATTTCATTTTTTCGCTGAAGGATCGGAGATGTAGCTTAAATGCCAGAAAGGACTGTTCTTGGAAGAGGCTTCTTGCAACCAAAACTTCGGGGGCAGAGGACTATATCTCGCCGAGAGTGGGAGGGTCCCGCGCGGACAATGCATCAGATAATCAGTCTGCACGTACTGGTATGTGTATTTGTTGCAAATGTTCGGTGGGATTCCCCATTTTGGGCGACGTATAGTCCCCTATCCAAACTTCAGTGGGCTCATGCCAAAAAAGGAACTTCTGAAGAAAACACATGTAACTTGATATGTGCAAGTGCACATAGCGCGCGATATCTCACAGCTATTCATAGTAGTTCCGTAACAACAAATTTGTTAGAGCAAGCGTTGATATTGACTCTTTACCTTGTTGAGTTCAAAGAGAAGACGGCAAAAAGAAATTTAATTGGCTAAGTACGTGAGTCGTGAAATACCGCAAGTGTAGTGCAAATACACGAATCAAGTTAAATTTGTTACAAGCTGTTCGTACAATAAGAAATCAAAGATGGGATTGATTGGAAAGTTCCAAATTCAAAGCACAGTATCTAACCTTTGATTCAACTGGCTTGGCGGCTGGAAGTCGGGCCTTTGTGACCTAATTAAGGCCGCTCGGCCCGCGACGCATTCTGCGTCTCTCCCGCATACGTGCTCTCTGATCATTATCCTACCCTCAATTAGGTCATAAAGCCCCGAGATTTCCAGCCGCCAAGTCATTTGAATCAAAGGGTACAGTATCTTTACGACCAATTAAATGCCAAAGATCATGGAAGTTTTGATTTCCCTACTTCACAAAATCTACGCTGGACCATCCTTATTTTCTCTTACCTGAATACATGTTGAATTTTCTTTGCTGCTTCGCTAACTTCTGGGTCGTTTAGATTGATATCAATCTCCTCCTGAAAAGAATTAGAGGTAACTTGATAAGCGTAAGCTCACTGTGATAGTTATGAGCACGATTATCAGGGCTGGAAAATCAGTCGCCCTTTCCTACTTGCTTATTTGACTCCTAATGCTACTTCAAACTACAGCACCTCGAGCGGGCAAAAAACTTTCTTGAAGAAAAAATAGGCCGCGCTAATAGCCCCTTTTAAGAAAGCTCTCTGTCTAAGCTGATGGATTTCTGCTCGGTTCTAAGTTCTGGGATAATGGCAAGGTTATGGCATTATTCGTGCGCAGGAGACTATTATACATAGCTGACCATTTTATGACTTCGAAAGAAAATAATTTTGCCACAGTTTCAAGTTTTACTGTCGTCATCCTAGACAGGATTGAAGCTAAAGATTGCTCTCTCAGTTTGTCGAAGTTTGGCTGATATAGACACTATTTAGGATTGGACCATTGCTTTCGAGGCATGACGTAAAGTGCTGCCCGTGTCACAGCCGCTCCAACGCCGTGCCAACCAGTGTAAGCGCCATGCTAGGTCGCGGCGGGAGTGCGTGTGAATACGCCCTTATTTATCGATCGATGTTCCGGCAGGGACTAGCACGGCGCTGGCACGAGACTCTGGACTCAGCTTCAGGAGAGCGTGTATATTATAGGTGGTGTGCAATCAAAAACGAAGCGCTCAAGTGGGATTTTTTTAGCATTTTTGCGACCCAACTCATCAAAATTTGAGAAGTCATCATCACAAACTGCAAGTTCTGTTTGTTGAAATCTCTACTGAGGAGGATACGAAATAAAGAAAAAAGATAAAATAGACAAGGAAATTTTGTAAATGTTTTCTTACAGCTTTTATTTTTTCCTGTGCACCCTGAGTACAAACCAAATAACTAAATACCATATTACTATGGTTTCATTTTGAACGGTTTACCATAAAACCATGTGTACACAACCCCCTTCCCCAATTTTACGCTTATTTTTCCATTAGTCATCGTTATCAAGCCTTTGCGTTGGGAAGGGTAGGATTAATACCCAAAGGTAATCGCTCGCGGGTGAGGAAGCGCTAATTCCCCGCGGCAAAATTGCTCTCGGCGCGTTGACAACACATCTGCAAAAGAGCAAACGATCGTTTGCCTAGTAATGAGAGAGGTCCTGCGGGAGGTGGGGGGGGGGAGGGGGGGAGGGGGGGGGGAGAGATAAGTGACAGAGAGCATTTACTTCCTCTTTATGCGTGCGCTAGGTGAAAGA